CTGCAAAAAAAAAAAAAAAAAAAAACTTGCACCAGTGATTCTGATGAACAGCTAAGATCAAGAACCATAGTTTGGGGTGTTTCATCCTTTGGGAAACTTGCCCTTGACCCCAGACCTGGGTTCCATGCCATTTATTTCTGCTACAATGTCCTGCTTTCATACTTACTTCCCCTCCTAGACTCCTCACTGTGGATTTTTTCCAGGCTAGATGAAGCCTCGTGTAGGTTGCAGCCCCATCTGTGTCAGTTCTCTCTGGGATTACCCAGCACATAATAGGTAGTTGGTAATGTTTGTAGATGGATGGAAAGGAGATATTTAGGCTTGAGTTTGAGGTTGTTTGGGGGCAGAGATGGTGGCCCATTATGTTCAGGACAAAGCTCAGATCCCATTGCCTGCCACTGTCATTTCTCACCAGCTTCACCTCCTGCTTCTCTCTACGACCTCCCCGTAGACAAGCGGAGTCCAAACAGCTCTTCCCTTCTCTTAGTCCTGCCTGAAGTTGCTCTGTTCCCTTTCCACTTGTCTAAAGAATTTCCCCATCTTGTGGGCCACCGTTGAACGCAAGAGAATATGAGAATATGATTTAAATCATCTATTAGGGAACCAGGTATAATTTTTATATTTGTGTTTCTTGCCTTTGAATGGAAATGAAAGCCTTGCTTACTAGAATAAAGTGATGCTAAATTGATCCTAGCCTTTTAGAAAATGATTCTTAAATTATTTATTTGTTTGTTTTGGTTAGCTTTATTGAGATGTAACCCACATACAATAAAGCTCTCCATTTCCCCCTATGCTTCTGCTCTGAGTTGCTTCACTTGGTCTCCCCAGTTGGATTTCAGACCATATGGGATCTAGGACTCATGTTCTCACAGTTGCTTCCAGATATGGCTTCACCTGCAACCTGCAAAGCTACCATGAACTGTGACGCTACTGTGACTAAAGCTACTATTGTGACCTTCAAAAGCCTAAAGATGCCTAAAGGAATCTTATCAATAAAGGAGGACACTGATTAGATGGTTTCGTGTAACCCTGGTTCTGTTGGCACTTGTGGCCTATTGCTCCCTTTTCTCCACCAGAGGGCAGTGTTCCACTCTAACAGTCTGCTCCCCTGGGGATTCTTCCCTTTCAAATTCTAACATTTTAGTTCAGAAGTGACCCCAAAACAGTGTTTTTCAAAATTTTATTTGACTGATAAGAATTACATCACAATCCGGTAGAGACATCCATACATATGCAACTCTACATGTGTATATATAATAAAACTTTCATGAAGTAATGCTTTACT